AACCTCCTAATCCAGGCGGTCACTCCGATCAATTTGTCTAATGAACTAAACCTTGTGAGTAACAGGTCTAAATTTCTTACCGATTCCTGAACGACAAGAGAAATAACTCTTAATCCCGGAAGAGGCTCAACAAGTTCCGTTTTAGTGTGAGGCCAGCAACTCTCGGGTTGGTACAGCCAACCTGGGGCCCACCACAAGGGATGGTCTAATATTACTGGAGCCTCACAACCTCGAGATGCACAGTCTGCCGGATTAAGTCCTCCCGGTACATGCCTCCAATCTAATGTCACAACAGATTGCTGAATTTGACAAACCCGATTGGCCACGAATACTTCCAGAACATGAACTGACGCTTGCAACCATGCAAGAACTATCTGACTATCAGTCCAAGCAAAACACTTCTGGATATTCATATTTTGGCCAAAAATGGATTTAACATGGTTTATCAAACGTGTCAATAGAACAGCACCTGATAACTCTAATTTAGGAATTGTTAAGCGTGTTCTTACTGGTGCAACCTTACTTTTTGCCATAACCAATTTAACCGTTATAACACCAGATTTATTGACAGAACGAATATAAACTGCAGCCGCATAACCACTTTCCGATGCATCACAAAAACCATGAATATCTACTGTGCATTTCCCTGGTGGCAATAAACATCTATCAATTTTAATCAATTGAATTTCAGGAAGGGACGAAACTAACCTAACCCAAACACTTAACATTTCACCTACTAAAGGGGCATCCCATGTTAATCCTTGTAACCAATCAAGTCATATATCCTGGCTACAGTCGAAAGTACTACACGCTTGGTCCAAGATTTAATTACATCTATATCCTGCACGCGAAAAGTAAATATATCAGCTAACGGTTGATACTGAATACCTAATACTGCAACAGCGTCAGGGTTGTCCACGTTCTGAAAAATATAAGGATCTTGTTGATGATCCTCGGGTAAACCAGCAAGAATAGCTTGTGAGTTAGACACCCATTTCCTTAACTCATATCCACCAGCCTTAAGAATCCCAATTAGCTCGTTGCGTAGTATTAAAGCTTCTTTCTCATTTGCAGCGCCGGTGCAAATGTCGTCAACGAAAACATCACTTGTCAAAACATCAGCTGCTCTTGGAAATTGCAAACGTTCCCGCTCAGCCAATTCTAATAATGTACGAATAGCAATATAAGGACTTGATCTGAGTCCATATGTATTGGTATTCAATTCAAATACTGTAACAGGATCGGATTCCTTCTCACGCCACAGGATAAGTTGATAGCAACAGTCATCAGTATGAATTACAGTTTGCCTAAACATCATTTTAATATCTGCAACAAATACGATCTGATGTCTTCTAAAATTTGTTAAAATATCACCAATGTCACGATGTAACTTTGGGCCCGAATGCAAACATTGATTTAAAGAAACTCCATTGGAACTAGGCGCTGAGCCATCAAAAACTACTCTGATTTTACCACCTTTAAACACAGCATGATGTGGGATAAAGTAGTGCTCCTGTGTGCGCCAATCAAAATCAGAAACTGACATATGTCCGAGCTTAAAGTACTCGTCCATAAACTCAATATACTTAGCACGAAAAGTCGAATCTCTCTTCATTCGTCTCTCCATGGATGTTAACCTTTTCTCAGCTAAAGTCCTGGAGTGACCCAAAAGAGGTCGGGATGGTAAGAAAGGTAACCGCGTGACAAACCTACCTGAACGGAGACGACCAGTGTTGTTCTGAAAGAACAATTCACATTCTTGGTGCTCCGGGTTTTCACGAGCCGCTGTGGGAGGCTCTTCGACTTCCCAAAACCGTTGAATAGCTTCAGCAAGTGAGAGTCCCACACATAAGTTACCATCTTCAACTGTAAGAGACTGTATTGGAAACACAGGACCCATAATGACATCACCAAAATCAGATGTAACTGCTACTAAGCCCCCTGGTTGTAAAAGTGTGCTTTTACTTAGTCGCAGCATGCCTAAAACTTCTGCTCCGAGTAGCAAATCAATTTGACCTGGAATATGAAATGTACAATCCGCTAAGTTAAGACTACGTGTAAAATCTAATATCTCCGATGGTAATTTAACAAGTGGGTGTCTGCCCATAACATTATCTAAAATAATGGCAGAAGTTGTAATCTGTGGATGAGAGCATTGAACAGAAGAAAAAGTTAGTGTAACTTGTCCCCGCAAACCAGGAACCTTAAGACCACCTACACCAAATATACCCCCGCTAGCAGGCGAAATACGCAACTGTAACCTGTCCACCAAATCCATTGACACCAAACTTCCCTGTGCTCCAGAATCCAAAATCGCACGCGTGGTTACTTGCTCACCTGATGGAGAACCAACACAAACCTGTGCGGTGGGTAACAAAACAGAGATGTAGGAGTTCTAGTGGAAACGTGACCTAGTCAATATTCTTCTGGTTCAGGGACCCGCTGGCCTAAACGAGGCCACTCTGAAAAAGGCAAAGGCCTAACAAAATCACGACGTTGCTGTTCAATAACAGGTGATGCACAAGAGTCATAATTATCCTTGCTCTTAGGAAGTTGTTGCTGATCAGAGGTGACACGAGGCCTGTTATGAGACCTTAAGTTTCCCCCGCCCCTGGAGGGTGGTGGCCGCCTCCGATGGTAATTATCGTAACCGGATTCTGTATGGTGCCTGGAAGTATGACCAAAAGTACGGGGTCTAACCTGCACACCACCAGTCCACTGATCACCTGTATTTTGAATGGCTTCAACAAACTCCCGTGCCGGTGCAGCTGATTGGGATGAACCATTCGCATTACCGCAAATTATAATGTGATGATTGCCATTACATTGTTTGCATGGTCGTGACACTTGGCATTGTGATGCCAGGTGATTACCTAAACAACCATAACACCACTTCCGCTGTCTGGCAATATTACGTCGTGCTTGAAAACGTAATGCCAAAAACTTTTGACATGACACCACGGTATGATCAGGGACTCGACAATGAACACAACATTTGCCTGGATGTTGAGTTGCCACGTTATAAACTCGCTGGTCAGGGCGTCGTAAGTGCATATGCTGTTGTCGCGGCCCAGTAGAAATTGGGGCCGGCGTTGTGGATGGCGCTGGAACATTATCCTGTCTGCGACACTCATCCTCTAAAAAAAATTCAATTCATCAAACGAGGGAAGATGAGTGGATGAATCTCCACCATACGCCTGTTCAAATCGGGTGCGCATGTCTAAATTTAGTTTTTGTAACGTTATATGCAACAAAATAAAAGACCAACTATCTACAGGTAAATTTAAACCCCTTAAGGCATTAATTGCCACTAATAAAGGATTTAAAACTTGAATTCTTAAGTTGTGGCTCTGCACGTTACTCTGTAAATTTAATATGACATCTACGTGGCTATCCGCCAGCTTACGTATGTTTTGATAACGCCGCATAAGTAAATCTCTAGCTATATCATAATTATTGTCCACAAGTACTAAATGTTGGACTAACCCTTTAGCCTCCCCAGTGAGACTAGCCAACAAATATGCCAACTTTTGAGCAGATGTTAAATCAAATCTTGAGTGCACTAAACTATCAAATAAATGAATAAACGCCACCCATTGGCTTAAATCGCCACTAAAATGGGGCAAATCTAGTTTGGGTAACCTACCTATAATATCACTTGAAAAAGTTAAACTATCCTTCGATTGAAGGTTATTTGACTGATTAACCGAAGATTTAATAATCCCAACGGCTTCCCTAATTTGATCAGCCAAATCCTCAGCCTGATCCATGTCTGCAGAAACCTTGTCCATCACCTCCGGTTCTAAACCCAACTCAAGTAATGCCTGATACGATTTATATAAATCTTTCATTCTATCCTCTAACGCGTCACTTCTTGATAGAAGCGCCTGAACGCGATCTTTTCGCGAAATATTTAAAACGGCCGATCCTAGCCACCGTAATACACCAGCTATTTGTGCCTTGTGCGAGACCGCCATTATAAAAGCATATGAATACAAACAATAGCACAAAAAATTTAAGAAAAAAATAAATAATAATAAATGACGAATATAACTAATTACAAAAAACCATTTAAAACACTATTTAAAAAAACTATAATCCCTACAAACAAAAAAATAAATACATTAATAAGTTATGAACCCAGGACTTATACTACCGAACAATTATTTACTAAAATGTAACCACGCTCTGCTACCAAAAAATTATGTACCACAAAGAACGGTTCGGTGGCCGTCGATACACAATTCATATTAAAATATAAGTCAGAAAGATAGGCACACAGTGTTATCAGCCGTAAGGATTTGGAATTAGTTTTAGTATGGGCACAAAGAGAGGTTAGACTGATGATAATTGATACCTTGCCTCACAATAGTTCTTAAACACGCACTAAACACTCACTATACAATTTTAAATAGTGGACGTATCTATAATTAACAAAAAGTACATGTGTACTATCCAAATAAAAAATGCTAGATGCACGAGAACACGTAACCCGAATGAAGCTCAACAAATGACTAACAAAAAAAAAATGTGTCGATCGGCCGTGTAATAATATTTGGCATCACCCTCATCAAATTTAATAAAATTGTTAATGTATTTCGAACAGCGACTTTCCACCGGCTGGAAAGTCACATATTTAAGTATATTGAGCCTATTTTGAAACATTTTGATGTGTATAAGAATTTTATTATTTAGACAATGAATGGAAATCCATGTAAGAATGTGAAACGTAAAAAACTACGATGCGTTTCCTTAAACAATCTATTATTTTAAGAAAAATATATATATAGCATTTTGCTTTGCATTGGTATTATTTTCAGGTTAATCCCACGTATTACGCTCGCTTTGGTTACATTCTGCAAGGTAAACAACATTGGGTACATGGGTCCCTCGTCGAATCGATTTGGAAGATTTCAGTCCAACAAGATTTGTTGACCCCTACTTTGTGAAATTAGCAAATACATATGGAAAGAAGACGATTCATACTATTTAATTCAAATATGTACTCTGTTGAAAAGCGTTTTGATGAAAAGAGTACAGAAAAGAGGACACGAGGACAGGAGGTTTATGTCGCTTATTTTTTTTAGTCAAAATATTCACAATAATAATAATAATTTGTAGAAGATAAATTATTAATAAATGTGTGTAATAAAATCTGGTTGTATTATTTACATAAAATTAAAATTAATCTCTGATGTACGTACTCGCATAACTCCCAAAAGGCTGCACATGAATATTTTTTATAATGTTTGTATGAAAAAAAATATTCGGAGCTCAAATTAAAGCTAAACTAAAAATAAATATAGAGCCTCGATTAAGATCCAAGTTTTGTACAACACGTTTGACAGGTTTGAAAAATACATATTTTTAGACGAACATTTTAAAACTGATAAGGGCAAGTGTGATTAAAAGTGCACAGCTTTGTAGCCTCATAACATAGTCGTTTAAAATACTGTAAAATAAAAGTTCCAAGTTTCTCTTAGTAACCGATAAATTATGGTTAAGTCTAAAACTATAGTGCCCTTTTTACAAATGTTTACTTCGCTCAATGAATATTACCAGAAAGGTTTAGCGTTAGAAATAGTACTAAGAGTTCTTACCAATTTTAACAATATTTCAGTAGAGATAACAAATAAAAAAATAAAATCGGCCTGTTCTGCCTTTGCACGGCTATACATTTTTCCATGGTTTAAAACATAATTATAATTATTGTAAAATTCTATTGGTTAAAGAACTTTTTAAATCGTTTCAGTAGTTTACTTTTTCGTTATACCCACTATTTTTCTTTAATTAACTAGTCTGGCCATAAATACTGTTACATAAAACCTTTTCTTTTTTTCACCTTTTTAATTATTCTGAACGCGCGTCAACGCGGCGCTCAGAGAAAAAGTCTTTAGACGCAGGTGATCGCGCGTTGACGCGCGCTTTGATAATTATGTAATGTCCGTATGCTGTTCAGTTGAGCGCGCGCTTTCATCGCGATCCCATGTAATTTTGTTAATTTTCGTAATTATATTTATAACAAACTGGGTCTATTTTTCAAAATTGGATAAACCCAATGTGTACGTTTTCTTTTTCTATATTTTTCTTTACAATATTACCACAAAATAATGGCCTCTGCCACGTCCATTTTCTACTTTCTACCGAACTAGACTGACGAGTACACTCGCAACGCGCATTAGCGCTCATCATCTGAATTCTCTTCAAATTTGATCGCGCGTTGACGCGCGTTAACGCGCGTTACATGTGAACATAGCCTAAGAGGGCATGGCCTGCTCTAAACAACACGGCGACATTGAGTATCTTAAAGAATCTTTGGAGCAAGCACTGGCGAAGTTTCCCTTGGAAACAGTCATCCACAGATTCATGGCCTAATAGATTAAAGGCCTATCTATATAAAAGCCAAAGGAAGCTATTTCGAATCTAATATTTTTTCTTTTTTTCTGAGACTTCAATAAATATGTAGGTATTCATTTTTATAATATTACAATACTTTAATAAAAAGTTGCATTTTTATTTGTAACAGAACTTATGGCTGGACTAGGTACATTTTAAACAATGAGAAGGATGTTAAAGAGATAACGCTTAATCAATAATATTACAATACACGTGGAAACGGTATTATCAGTAATTATTTTTTAAATTTTTGTATTACAAAATCATTAAAACCTCACTCTCCTATGTACAAAATAAGTGATTATGGTGTTTGTTACGCTAGGCAAATGCTACTAATTCAAAAGATATTTCTTTAATCTTAGAGTTTCTTCGTTATTGTTCCAACGACTATGATCTTTAACGTTATATATACGTATATAATGTTATATAACAAAGGTGCCCTTTGCAGTGGGTGATTAAGGTTTCTTAAGGGCAAGTTTTATTTGCGCATATAGCAAAATCCAATTTTACCACACCAACTTCAAAGCACAGTGGTTACACTTATATTATTTGTGGGAGAAGAATGTACAAACTAAGCATCGTATGCACTTTCAAAGTTATAAATTTTCGCGAAAATAAATAATTTTAAAAACATCATATAAGTAGCAATACAGTTTTTAAGATCAACATGTTCGGTTATCGGCAGGTTAACCAATTTCGGGTTATAATTTTTTTAAATTCTATTAATTATAATGTTAGTACCGTCATTAAGGTTACTAATTTATGTAATAATATAATATTCACAAAAGGAAGCCGCAAAAAGAGCTTGTTTAAAAATTAATTTGTCGGATTATGATGCTATATATTTAAGAGCGGCGACGACTTACCATCAATTCATCGTCAGATAGCGAATTCAACACTCGTTGATAAAAGAAATGTGGAATTTAAGCTTGATATTATTTTGTGCTGCACTGGTAAGTACATATTGGTTAATTTAATTTAAAATGGGCTCAATAATGTTAATATATTTTTTTAGCATTATTAAAATACTGTTAATCTCGTTTAGAAGTCAAGAAATATTTTATCATTATTTGACTCATTTTTAAAAATATATGAAGGATTATATGATGTCCTAGTAAATGGAGAGCCACTTACTTTTTCAAAAATTTAATAAATGTATATATTTTGTTATTACGCGCATTTGATTCTATATCAGTCTTTTCAGAAATTCTAGTTTCTATTCGTTTTCTATTCTAGACCTAGACCTGATGAGATCACTTTTGATTGTTTTTTATTTAATTTTTATGAAAATATTTATATTTGAACAAAAATAAAATTTTGATAACTTCGGTTAAATTGTTCGGTACATGGACTATCTAACAAAAGTTTTGTCAATTTAAACCAAATAGGTCTTGAGATTAGCGTGTTTAATAAAACAAAGAAACTCTGATAATAATAGTTAAATATATTAAAAAAGCATCAGCTTTGTAACAATAGTTTAGATACGAGTAATACAATATTGATTTCAGGTGCACTCTAAACAATTTCCAATTTACGAATTAAACGATGCGAACGAAGTACCAGGTATAGGTTTAGGGACGTTTATATTGGTAAGTTAAATATTGTTTAATTTTTTTTTAATTATTTCATATTGTAATCAATCAATATTCCACAGTCATTTTTTTTAATTTTTATATATAGTTAATAAATAAAATAAAATATAAAAGTAATAAGCAGCAATTTAAATTACTTAATAATATATATTTGACTAGTTTTGTTGGGGCAATTAGAAAAAACAGAAATATATCACAATCAAATATTTTACTTCATAAATACGTTGGTATAAAGTTGAATGGTGAATGGTGTAGACTGATTTTTCGTACAATTTCATTGGTCCTTTATGAACAGATCGGCCATATGTCGTTCAAAACAAAACAACATTTAAGCTAAAAATCATATCATGTACTCGTACGTCAGGATCCATCTAAAATTCTAAACCATGCAGATTACAGCGCAAATGTACGTTGTACGCATGATTATATTTCAGATGAAAAAATGTTAAAGTATCTATTTAATTAATATTTTATAGAAAACACCATACGAATCAGTATATAACGCGATAAAAGCGGGATATAGATACATCGACACGGCGTTATTTTTCCGAAATGAAGCGGAAGTCGGTCGGGCGATATCCGACGCAATCAATCAGGGTATAGTTACCAGGAAAGAACTTTTCATCACAGGAAAGGTAATTTATAAAATTATAGAATATATATAATAGTATAGTTTTTAAGCAAATTATCAATTTACGTTTATTTTTATGTTACAAATTTTAATCTAGTAAATGGTGTACCAAAATTCAAATCGTAAACTTATAAATACCTAGTGGAAATAATTCGCTGTTAAGTTGTTACAAGAGTCATTTTCTAACTAATTTTTTTTTTTTGTTTTTTTTTTTTTTTTTTTTTTTTTTTTTTTTTTTTTTTTTTTTTTTTTTTTTTTTTTTTTTTTTTTTTTTTTTTTTTTTTTTCTGTCTATGTTTTTTAACAATTTAACACTCGCTCCTACGGTGGAGGAAAACAACTGGCACATATAATCTAATTCCTTAAACCCAAATAGTTGACGGTGTGTGTCAGGCATAGAAGCCTGCTTATTAAAAAAAAGTGCTTGCGTAAAAAGTACACACGTCAGAAGTGAAACTACTTTGGCAAACAAATTTTTAGGTCTTGTTCATATTTATACTAATCCAAAAATTTCCGAGACTTAAAGGGAGGAAAAAAGGAAGATATGTTTGGAAGTGAATGAATTTAATTGTCATTAAAATATTAAGTGTCGAAAATTAATACAAATAATAAATTTATTTCTTCGAAAATAAAAACACGTAACATTTTAATTTACAATTCGCCATTTGAGATTTCAATAAATTATTTTGCATTATAATTTTAAAAATAGAATTTCTACAAGGTCTGGTTAGGGGGGGGGGGGGGGGGCGAAAAGGGGGGCCGGGGGGCGGGGGGGGGGCCCGGGGGGGGGGGGCCGGGGGGGGGGGGGGGGGCGGGCCCCCCCCCCCCCCCAAAGGCCCCCCCCCCCCCCCCCCCCCCCCCCCCCCCCCCCCCGGGGGGGGGGCCCCCCCCCCCCCCCCGGGGGCCCCGGGGGGGCCCCGGGCCCCCCCCCCCCCCCCCCCCCCCCCCCCCCCGGGGGGGGCCCCCCCCCCCCCCCCCCCCCCGGGGGGGGGGGCCCCCCCCCCCCCGGCGGCCCCGCGCCCCCCCCCCCCCCCCCCCCCCCCCCCCCGGGGCCCCCCCCCCCCCCCCCCCCCCCCCCCCCCCCCCCCCCCCCCCCCCCCCCCGGGGGGCCCCCCCCCCCCCCCCCCCCCCCCCCCCCCCCCCCCCCCCCCCCCCCCCCCCCCCCCCCCCCCCCCCCCCCCCCCCCCCCCCCCCCCCCCCCCCCCCCCCCCCCCCCCCCCCCCCCCCCCCCCCCCCCCCCCCCCCCCCCCCCCCCCCCCCCCCCCCCCCCCCCCCCCCCCCCCCCCCCCCCCCCCCCCCCCCCCCCCCCCCCCCCCCCCCCCCCCCGGCCCCCCCCCCCCCCCCCCCCCCCCCCCCCCCCCCCCCCCCCGGCCCCCCCCCCC